TGGTCTCCCCCACCCTCTTCCCCCTCACGGCCCCTGGCTTCCTTCACCCACTGGTCACTCTCTCCCTCCGTCTCGCCGCTGATTTCCTTGTCCCTCAAACTTCCACCTTGGATCTAATTTTCCTCTTTTCCCCTCCACCTTATCTTTAATTTTTCTCTCCCTCCCTCAAACCTCCACCTTGTGTCTTAGTTTCCCTTTCTCCCTCAAACCCCTCCCTTGTCTGATTTCCTCCCTCCCTCAAGTCAAAGACTTCCACCTTGTGTCAACCCGCTTCCCCCACCCTTCATATTTCCCTGGCTTTTCTTCCTTGCTTTCTCCCGTCCCTTTAAAAGAGACGAACAAAAAGGAAGACACTGCAACCTTTAAGTCTTCCTGTTTTATTACTCAACGTTTTGGGGGATTTTTACAATTTTATATTGATATATAAAAGACGCACTTTTTATTCAATTTGGGGTTCGCCTCCCAGTGTTTCTCTTCAGTTAATTGTTTTTGTTGCGGGTTGGGGTTAAAGGGTTTCTCTCCCCACTCTGGATTTGTCAGCTCACCTCCCCAAAGCAGAGAGGAAAGGCCTTCCCGTATCTTTCTCTTCTCAATGTGTCGTCCGCACTCTCTCTCGTTTAATTCTTAACTAAAATCCTCAAAATAACCCACCTGTTCTGGAGGTGCAACATCGTTTTATTTAACTTGTCTTCTCTGTCCTTCCCTTTCTCTCTCTCTTTCTGTCTCTGGGCATCTTTTTTGGAAACGAGTACTTCCAAGGACATTGCTTTGTTTTCTTTCCCGAAACCCATCCCCTATTTTTTTGGGAGATCCCCGGGAAGGCGATTGGAAAGCAGAGAGCACGGTGTCTTCGATTTTTGTCCCCAGCAATTGTCCTCAGAAACCCACACATGGAATGAATGTCTCTGACCCCAGAGCCTTGTCGAGGGGTCTCTCACCTGGACAGCATCTTGGTGACTTCTGGACGAGTTTGTTTCTGCAGGCAGGAAAAGGCAAAGAGTGGAGAGGAAGGGACACGTTACTTTCTCTCCCCCTTCGAATCCACAGTGACTTCTCTCGGTGAAATGAAGAGGAAGGAGCGAGACGTTTCTTGCTGAATTTGAGCTGGACAACAGTTCTCGGTGAATTTGGGCTGCAGCGAGGCTCCTCTTCAGCTTTTATTTTCTGCCCACACCGACAAAGCTCGCCTGGCCTGGAGGAAAGAGGCAGGGTGGAACCTTCTGTCGAATACCCCGCGTTTTTGTTAGAAACCACAGCAAGCGAAAGAGACGCAAAGGGACCCAGGCGGCCATGGAGGGCCCAGGCCGACCTGGAGGTTACCGCCAGAGCCGGAGGTCCCGCTCCCAAAGGGACAGGGACAGGAAGCTGGCCGGCTCTGGGGCTCGGGAGAGCAGGCCTTACTCCCCGTCCTCGGGCTCCGAGAGGGAAGCAGGAGAGGGCCCGGCTTCTGGGACAGGCCCAGGACTTGGCCTTGGCCTGGGCTCCGGGCCTGGCTCGTCCAGGCCCCGTCCCCCCCGGCGTAGGAGGAAGGAGTCGACGTCCTGCGAGGAGGACATCATCGATGGGTTTGCTATCGCCAGCTTCCCGAGCCTGGAGGCACTAGAGGTGAGCTCTTCCCCTCCCAACACCCTCCTCTCTCTCTCATTATTAATGGTAATGTTGTGGTTGTCAATATTGTCTACACTTCATCTTGACCTCATCCCAGACCTCTTGCCCTCGTCCCCAAACTCTTGACCCTCAACCAACACCCCCGGTCCCGCCCCTGCCTTCTGACCTCCCCCACCCCCTCCCCGACCACCTCCCCCCGTCCCCAATCCCCATGTCCGACCTCCTCCTCCTCCTCCTGTCCCTGTCCCCCGCCTGCTCCCCACCCCGTCCCTGTGCCCGACGACCACCACCACCTTTCCCCCTTACCCCGTACCCGACCTCCTCCTCCTCCTCCTCCCCCTCACCCCGATCCCCGACCACCTCGTCCCCGTTCTTCCCCCCCAGTCCCCGTCCTCCTCCTCCTCGGCGGGGCGGGGCCACCGAATCCCTGTGCCTGACCACCACCTCCTCCCCCTCACCCTGTATTAGTTTCCCCCCACCGTCAGGTCAGGATATTGATAGTGTGGGATGGTGAGGGCGGGCGCAGAATTTCAGCAGCTGTAACGCCAATAAATGTCATGGTGGGCGGCTGTGTGGTAATGATGGTTAGTCTCCCTCTGTTAAAGGTTTGTGAGTGAACCTTCCTCACCCCTCTCCCATCCGAGGGAGGTGTCCTGTGGATATGTGACGCTTGCCTGTAGATCCTACGGGGAATGTGGGCTAAACCCCTATCGGGGAGGGGAGGGGGTAAGAAAGCCTGATGCCCGCAGTCGAGGTGTGTTTGGCTGGGGGGAGGGGGTTGCCATGCTGAAGGGGTTATTTGGATAACGGATGGGCGGGAATGCCCCAGCACTGCACGGATGGGCTGAAGGGCCTGTCTGTCTCCTGCACGATACTACCTGACATCGCCGCGCTGGAACGAAGCCCGATACGTGCTGCCCCCTCGAGTGTGTGACATTTTCTCGCGGTTTGGGTGGGTGGATTTGGCGGGGGAGGATGGTGGCAGCGGAAAGCTGGGAGAGCGTGAACGTAGAGGGCTCTCCCTGCAAATTGAGTCGGGGGCGCGGGGTGGGGTGGGGGGGCGGGGAGGGGTGGGATACAGGCAACATTGTCTATGAATCAGTTTGCCCCGAGGGGGAATGCCAGGCGCGGGTCTTCAAACCCAGTCTCAGGACGGGAATTTGTATAGCGCCACTTCGGTACAGTGCACTGTGCTGAGGGCTTTGCTGTGTTGGAGGAGGAGGAGGGTTGGAGAGCTGGTGGTCCACAGAGGGACCGGATCGTATGGGGAAGGGAATGGAGGGGGGTGGGGAGTGGTTTCACCAGGCCCTGGGGTGGGGTCCACGTGGGTGCTGATGAGAGTGGGCATCGCCAGCTAGGCCTGTCAGCAGTTACCCCTTGAGTCTGCGCGGTGGGGAGATGCCCGCGGTGCTGTTAGGGAGGGAGTTCCACGTCAGCGAGGGATTTGACCCAGCGGCAGCGAAGGAACAAGAGGGTTGAGTTCAGAGTGGGTGTAATATGCAGCTTGGAGGTGCTGATGCAGCTGGTCTTGCCCTCCTCGGCGGGTAGAGGCACTGTTGGCGAGTCTACACTGTGTGGTCTTGGAGATGCTGTCACTTTAGCTTAGTAGCGAAGGGAGTTCCCGGGGGAACCCAGTGCCACACGTGCAGGTTTTGTTTGGTGTCACCTCGCGCTGTTTTCCTTCAAACTGGGAGCCCCGGGGTGTTAAACCAGGGGCTGTCGGCCTTGTAGCCTCGGCCAGATTGGGTTAGACTAGCAGGCTGGTGGACGTCTGGGAAAGTCTGGGGTCTCGGCTTTTGTTTCTGGAGTTGCGAACCCAAGTTTGAGTCCCGCCTTGGCGTGTCCTTGGGCCATTGGCCTGTCCAGGGACTTGGCTAGTATCTTACCTGCTTCCCTACTCGAAGCTGGATTCCTCGCACCTGAGGCCGAGATGACCTGTTGGGATAAGTTAGTGTGACTCCTGAGTGGATGGGTAATTTGTGCTTTGCTTCTATTTGTATCATCCCCCCGAAAGCCTCTGATTTTTAAATCCTTCCCCTGCCCCCACTCCCCAGCCACTGCCAAATTGATTGCCCCTCTGCCTTAAAACCTTCTCTGAACCACCTCTGATGCCTGCCTTTAATTTGGAGCAGAGTTGGCCCTGAATAGTTGAAGCAGTCTCTGAAGAGTTTGAGTTTGACCAGCCTCGATCTGTTAACAGCCTTTTACAACTTTTCCCATTCCTTGGTTCACGCACGAGAGCGCTCTGTGCGTTTTGGGAACCCCTCACTCAGTCCCCAGATTAGTTCAGAGATACGTGTGTAGCTGTTTCTGTATCTGTCATCTTCTTCCCCCCTGCCCCCAAAAAAAAACTCTTCCCACAGAGAGCTCAGCCTTGAGCGGGGGGTGTTTATTAAAGATTGCAGTTGATAACAGTCACAGAGATGTTAACCACAACCGACGTAGCAGTAGACTCCAGGGCCACAAAGATGAGAGACTCAGCCAGACAAGTGGCGAATGTTTGGTGTCGGGGATGTGTGCAGTGACTGAGTTTGTTCAGGAGACCGGGGCGAGGCACCGCTATTGAAGGAGTCGCAGGACACAGTGACCCGAGCATGCGGGTGCATAGATCATTCAGAGCCGGGATGAGAGCCGTCTCTTTTCTCGTCGCTTTTGGCTTTGTCAATCGGGTGTTGAGTCCAAAAACCCTTTCTAAAACCCTGCGTTGTATCTTTCTCTGAGGAGGCCCCCTGGGGCTCCTGAGTCAGGCAGGGAAACCGTTGCAGGGGGGTGTTTGTGTGGATGCGCATTTGACCTCTGCCCATGGTGTTTGAGTGGCCGTCGCTCCCATCAGTCTCATTGTCTCTGTTAACTCAATCGTCGTTGTTCCCCAACCCTCTGGATCAGCACAACGTTCTCTCCAATCTTCAAACTCTGGGGGTTGACCACTCTTGTACGCTGAACCGGGACAAACCCAGAGCCCTGTCCTGGGGCTTTGGAAAGGGGTGCAGAGGGAGAGACTTGCTTGGATGGGTTCCCCGGGGGTGAGAGGTTTGGCTGGGAGGATGTGGACTAGCTGCCTTTGGTGTGAAAAGGCGGTGGGGGGGGTGGTGTTGGAATTTAATGGAGGCGATCTTAGCTTATGGCCTTCCCAGAGGCAGGAGGGTGGGGAAACCAGCCTGGGGACCCAGGGTGATTGGGGAAAGCGCCAGAGGGGGGAGACGAGAAGTGTTTCGAGGCAAGGTTGTGCTCACGAACATGTTTGCTGCGAAGGGTCGAGAGAAGCAGGTTCAATCGGAGCTTTCGCAAGGTGGGAGGTCAGAAGTGAGAAAAATTCACCAGATGGTATGGAGAGATCTGGGGCGGTTAGGGGGTAGTATTTGGGATGAAAGCGACAGACCTGCCCGTGCCAGCGACGTTGGGAGCCGAGCGTGGTTCTGCCAGCAGATGTCTACACTGTCAGCGTTCTCTAACTGCCGGACTGAAATCTTTTATAACGAGGAAGGCAGCGACCAGGGCAGGCCGTTGGCAGATGCAGTTTAGTGCTGAGAGAGATCAGGCCAGGGAGACATGGGTTCGAAAGAGTGCAGCAGCACAAGAGAAGGGTCCATGTGCATTGATTCCTGAAGGTGACCAGGACGGGCTAAAATATAAACACGAAAGGCCTTTTCTCAAAAGCGCTTGGCTGGGAGGAAGCATTTGGAACGCTGTGGCAGTGTTGTCGATCCTGAGGAGAGTAGGATTGCCCCTGGGGATAGGGTGTTGGTGTCGGGGAGTGTAATTATAACCCACAGGGCGGTTGCTTGGCTTCAAGAATAGCCCACACCCTCTTCTTAATTGAATCCACACACAGTCACGATCACGTTGATGTCTGTTCACTCTGTACGAGAAGTCTTGAGGCTGCGCGAGCGAGAGAGAGAATGGGACCCGTTTCCGTTTGTCTGCTCGGAGCTAGCAAGCACTGCAAATGCTGGAGTCGGAGACAACACAGCGCAGGGCTGGAGGAACACAGCATCAGAGGAGCAGGAAAGTCGCCGTCTCGCGTTTGCGCCCTTCAGGAACAGTAGACTTTCCTGCTCCTCTGCTGCCCGACCCGCTGTGTTGACTCCTGTTTGTCTGCCAGTCTCCCACGTTCGAGGTTTCAGTGCGTGTGAAAGCCTAGCCCAGAGCTCCTGAACGCATGGCTCAGCAGGAGGATTGCGTAGTGTCTTTCTATGCACCCCAGACCACCACCCTCTTCCCGATCCTGCCCTGCTTCACAGTCACGTTGTGGTGACCCTACACGCATTCTTCATCGTCCTTAACCCTCCGTCTCTCCTGGCGGGTGCCAAACCCGAATCCAGCAGTTTTCACGTGGTGCTGCAGTGTTTTTTTTTGTGCAGAGGGAATGTTTTCACACTGTTTGTAATAAGGACAGAAGGAGCAGGCATAGGGCCATTCAGTCCCTCGAGCCAGATCTGTGGCCTAACTCCATATGTCTGCCTTTGGCACATGCCTTAAACCTGAGACATTTTTATTAAGCAATGGAATTGGCATCGACTGCTGTTTTAAGGAAACAAATTCCAAACCTCCGCTGTGTGTAGAAGTGTTTTTTTTTAATCATCTGTCCTGAACGGCCTAGCCCTAATTCTTAGACTATGCGCTTGGTTCTGGAATCTTTAACCAGTGGAAATAGTCTGTCTACCCTGTCTTTTCCTGTTAACTATCCTGAAGACCTCGATTCAATCACCCATTAATCTTCGAAAGTCCGGAGAATGAAGGCCTAATTTGTCTGATCTGTCCTCAGCCTAACTCCTGAAGTCTGGCTCTTGCTCTCTTAACTCCGTCCAGGGTCAAAACATCCTTTTGCCCAGATCTGTTCTCAGTGGGGTCTAACTCTGGTACTGCAGCGTAACGCCTGTTTTCCTTGTACTCCAGCCCGTTTCGATCTGAAGGCCAGCGTTCCGTTAGCCTTCTGGACTATTTTCTGCACTTCCATCTCATTGGGCACCCACTGTGTTTTTAAAAAATACTCTGAT